TTTACTTTATTTTATTAAAAAATAAATATTGAATTAAGACGAATAAAATATAAATTATGAAGTCAATCAACGTGTCCACATTAGAATATTTTTTTGAATATTTTTTTGATTGATTAAATGATGTATATTGGTTTAAGTTTATTCTTTTTAGATGACCTCGTCATTGGAAAAAAATAATTTTAATTCATCCTGTTGATCTGATTATTAATATATAATTCCTCAATCTCACATAATTTGTTATTATTTTTTGTTTTTGTCTGTCCCACATAATTTATCATTTCTATTTTTGAAAATATAATTATGCACTTTAATTGCATTTTAAATTTTAAATTTATAATTTTCTTAATTTTAATTAAACTATTTACTTATCTTAATCTTAATCTATAATTATTTTTACTAAATAATAATTATTTTTAGTAATACACTTTTTAATTACTTACTAATTATATTTTACCTAAATTTTTGTATCTACAACAATAGTCCTATCTTTTCTGGGACGGAGGGAGTATTAATTTGTGTTTTACTCTCTCTGTCCCATGTAATATGGGTGTATTACTGTAGACACGGAAATTTAAGTAAAGTATAATTAGTAAGTAATTAAGAAGTGTATTAATAAAAATAATTATTATTTAGTAAAAATAATTATAGATTAAGATTAAGATAAGTAAATAGTTTAATTAAAATTAAAAAAATTATAAAATTTAAAATTTAAAATGCGATTAAAATGTATAATTATATTTTCTAAAATAGAAAGGACAAGTTATGTGGGACGGACAAAAATAGAAAATAAGGATAAATTTTGTGGGATAGGGGGAGTATGTCACAAAAACCCTAACTTTGTCACAAGTTTGGTTTGATTTGATTGATTGTATATAAAATTCTTAATTTGAAAATGTTGGCATTATTACTATTATTATCATTATTATTAAAAATGTCCCACTACATATTTTTATTAAACTAAAATGTATGACCAATCATACGTGTAACACAATGCATTTTATGTAATATATATATATATATATATCAAAGCAAAACACATGCACACTCAGGGTGTTTGTTTGGGGTTTGGATTTTGAGTTGAGATTTGAATAGTAAAAATTTTGAATTTGAATAGTTATATAATATGATATAAATAGGTATTGATGTGATATTTTGAATGTAAAATTTATTTTTAGTATAATATAAAAAATAAAAAATAGATATTTAATTTGATGTTTTTGGAGGAAAAAAATGGGATGAATAGCAAAATCTTACAACCGAACACACCCTGAATTTATTCGAATCCAAAGATATGGATTACGAATATTTAGAGTATATTAAATTATATATTTATTTATTTTAGCATTAAAATTATTTAACATAATTATATATATACTAGACGGCATTAATATTTTATCTGTCACAGATGTTCTCATTTCTTTTTTGGTATATTTTATAAAAGATGACCTCTTTCCATTTTTGACAAATTTATCGATCTTAAACATACTTAACAAATATAAATAAATTTAATTAAACTTGTAATATCTTACACGTAGGATTCACTCAAAATCTTTTTATTTATATATCTCTCATCCATTAACAAATATTTTTATCTATATTTAAAACTCTTTATTTTTTATAAAACTAATTTATGATAATGATAAATAAATAAATATATTTTTTTATTCATTTGTATTATATAAAATTTTATTGTCTACAAAATGATATTATATTGCATATATTTGATCTATTGTTAAAATATTTAAAATACCAACAATACTACACATATAAAATAATAAAATATTATCTTAACTTATTATTAATAACTTAATAACCTATACTAATTAAAATATTGTATCCCTAACAAAAGGCTCCTTCTTCTGCGGGACGGAGAGAGTAATATATATCCTAGACAACAATAAAAGAAAGAAAAAATTAAAACATATACTTCCTCGCATATCTATGTATATGTTTGCTTTTTATAGGGAATTTTAAAAGTATTAGTTATATATTGGGATGAAGTAGAAATAACTAAAATAACTTTATTAGTATTGTGTGATATAAATATAATGACATTTGTATAATATAGTGTAAATTGTAAGAATATTTGTAATGTTATGTAGATAGTACAGTTGCTAAAAAAATGAATATTTTATTATGAGATATAATAAAATTAAATAATAGATAGTTTGTTAAATGACGGATGAAATGAAGAACAACAAAAGTTTTGCTTTTTTGCTTTTTTGTAATTTTGTTTTCATTTTCTGATTTTCCTCTTAAAAAAATTACATTCAATATTTATATTTATATTTTTTTAAAAAAATTATTACATCAATTCACTAAAATAATTATTCCATTTTTTTCACATAATTTGTTCCTTTTTTTTTTTTTTCGTTCGTCCTACATAATTTATTATTTTTTTAAATATAATTATACATTTTAATTACATTTTAAACTTTATATTTTATAATTTTTTTAATCTAAATTAAAGTATTTAGTTATCTTAATATTAATTTATAATTATTTTTACTAATATACTTCTTAATTATTTATTAATCATATTTTACCTAAATTCTCGTGTCTACATTAACACACCCAAATTACCTAGGACGGAGGGAGGGAGTAGTATTTCAGTAATAACATTCAACTATATATGTATTATATATAATTAACATTAAAATATTGTATCTAAATAATATAAAAGAAAAAAGAAAAATAAAATAAAGCATCAAGGTTATTTTTTTAGTGAATTTGTTTGTTCAGGGATCAGATTAGATTTTTACTATTCATTTCATATTTTTCTCCCAAAAACATCAAATCAAACACCCATTTTTCAATTTTTATATTATACTAAAAATCAATTTTACATTCAGAACATAACATCAATACCTATTTATATCATATCATACAACTATTCAAATTCAAAATTTTTACTATTCAAATTTCAACTTAAAATCCAAACCCCAAAACAAACACACCCAAAATGTACTATTTTATTATACACAATATTAAATTAAACAATTATTCAATATTAAAAAAATCTAAAAATCACTACAGAAGAGTGATTATATATTTGTGTTCTTTTTAATCTCATTGTTAAAAAATTGGAACAATTATATTAGATTTAATAAACTCCAAAAACTATTGAACATATATATATATATATATATATGCATATGTTCAAAAATCTCTTATTTGAATACAATAAGAACCATCAACAAAATAACCCACACTACACAAAACCCTAAAATTTTGATATATTTGCTCTTTTATTATTTTGTTTTTTATTTTTTCATTTTCACATGTTAGGAATTTTTTTTTTTTATTTGGGAATTCATTATTAAGAATCGATATAAAAATAAATAAATAAAATAAAATAATTGAACCGCAATATATATATGATTACTTTTCAAGTATAATTTATCAATATTTTTTTGTTAAACATGAATTTAATATGGAATAATTTAACGAATTATTCAATGATTATAATGCAAAATTTGAGTTTAAAATCAGAAGTAGTTATTATTTTATTTTGCATATGACCAAAAGTTAATTTAAATAAAGTGATATTAATTGGTTACTCCTATTTTATAAATCAACTTTTCTCAAATATGTCATTAAAGATTCATTTAGGCTCCCGGACACTCCGACACCCCCGCTAAATTTAAATTTGGTACATTTCAACTTATACGAGCATTAACTATAAGCCCCTAACTCGTATTATGTATAATTCAATACGATATCTCTAACTTCGTCTCGAATAAATTATGATCATAATAAAACTAACAATATTACACTATTCGAACTATAAATATTAAATCTCTAAATATATTATTCAAGACTCATTACTCAAAACACCAAACAAAATCGAAACCCAAATAAACACATTCTTGATTCTTGATCTAAAACACTAACACCAAACCCTCCCCAACCCCAACCCCAACCCAACAAATTAAAATAAACAAAAAGAGAAATGGACAAAAACCCAAGTCACTAAAATGTGTTTAGAAGAAACATGTGAAAATATGGTGTAAGTGGAAAAGGAAAAGGAAGTTGTAACCATACAAGGAAGAATTTGAATAGAATGGACTTATGTGGACAATGCAATAAAATATATATATATATATATATTCTTCACCATCATTATCATCATTTTATATTATATATATATATATAAAGTTAAAATCAAAAGCACTAAAAAATAATAAAAATATTCAAAAGGGCAATGAGATGGAAAAGTAAAGAAAAGATTGCAAGTTGAAGAAGCAAATAAAAATGTGTGCTGAATTCCATGCAACAATCAATGCCCAATGCCCTCTTTTTTAATCATTGATTTTTTTCCAAATTTTCATCATTCATTTCCCACTGTGCCTATGCCCCCATCACCTTCTCCTCTCTTCTCTTCTCTCTTTTGGGGTCCCTTATTTTTTTTTTTATTTCTACATATTTTTTAAATATATATACATGTGGCCCTTTAATTTTTTCTATTGGAGAAATTATAATTTTAGTTTTAAAATGAGATTTTATTTATTTTTTATTATCTATATAATTGGTTTGAAATTTATTGAATATTGAAATTTGAACTCTTAAACAAGAATAGTGAATTAAATATGAGACCATTTTTTCCTATTGTATAATCATTCTTCTTTTCTTCCTTAGTGTTAAGGTGAAACTTATCATTCCTTCACCAACTAATGTATTATTATTATTATAATTATAATTATTGTGATTTATGTTTTTTTTAATTCTATATTTATATCAGATACATGTATGTTCTATTATACAATCTGATAAATAAAAAGAAATATATTGTTATTATTATTCTTATTTGTACAGTTCTTTATAAATAAGTTGTGGGTTTTTTAAATTTATGGGCCGGCCCATTAGTAAATGGGCTAGAGAGAAGCCTAATCTCTACACCGTACACGTGGACGGTCAGATTGGATCGGGTTCTGTGCACCGCGAGTAGACAATAATTACTCATATAGAGAAGGATATGGATATCGGCTGCTACGGCGGAGGCTGTTCGTTGCAGAGCTCTGAATTCTGCTTCTCCGGCGTATTCGCGGCTGCCGGAATCAATGACCTCACTTTTGCTGCAGAGAACTCCGCCGCCGGCAGTGTCCGCGGCCGCTCCACCATTTCTTTCGCCGAGAACGCACATCCCTCCACATGTGTACAAGCATCCAGCCGCAATTCTGCTCGAGCTCTGCACTTCCATGAAAGAGCTCCACCAAATCATTCCATTGATCGTGAAAAATGGCCTCTACGACGAGCACCTCTTCCAGACGAAGCTCGTGAGCTTGTTCTGCAAGTTCGGGAGCCTAAACGACGCGGTCAAAGTGTTCGAGCCAATCGAGTCGAAGATCGATCCGCTTTACCACACTCTCTTGAAAGGGTACGCACAGCAATCTAATTACGATTCTGCTTTGAAATTCTTCAATCGGATGAGACACGACGGCGTTGCGCCGGTGGTGTATAATTTCTCGAATTTATTGAGAATCTGCGCCGATAACTCCGACGTTCGGAGGGGTAAGGAGATTCACACGCAGTTGATTTTGAACGGATTATCTGATAATTTGTACGCCATGAGTAGCGTGATGAATTTGTATGCTAAATGCGGCGTGATTCTTGAGGCCTATAAGATGTTCGACAGAATGCCTGAGAGAGATTTAGTGTGTTGGAATACTGTAATTGCTGGTTTTGCCCAAAATGGGATGCCATGGAAGGCAGTAGAGCTGTTCACGAAGATGCAAGGTGAAGGATACAGCCCTGATATGGTTACCGTTGTTTCTGTGCTGCCGGCATTAGCTAACATCGGCAATTTGAGGATGGGGAGGTCGATTCATGCCTACGTTGTTCGACGCGGGTTGGAATCTTATGTGAATGTAGCTACTGCATTGTTGGATATGTATGCGAAGTGTGGGCTAATAGGAGCAGCTAGAAGTGTCTTTGATCGAATGGATTCGAGGACTGTAGTATCATGGAATTCGATGATTGATGGATATGCACAGATTGGGGATTCGGAGGAAGCGTTGGTTTTGTTCGAAAGAATGTTGGATGAAGGATTGAAGCCTACGAATGTTACGGTGATGGGAGTGCTTCACGCTTGTGCTGATTTGGGCGATTTTAGGCGTGGCGAATCTATTCGTGAGGTGATCGATCGGTTGGGGCTGGATTCGAATGTTTCTGTGGTGAATTCTTTGATTTCGATGTATAACAAGTGCAGAAGAGTCGATGTTGCTGCCGAATTGTTTCGTAAGCTCAAAGGCAAGACGCTTGTTTCGTGGAATGCGATGATCTTAGGGTACGCGCAGAACGGGCGCACAGTCGAAGCCATCGATCTCTTCTGCGAAATGCAGAAATATGGGATGAAGCGCGATTCGTTCACCTTAGTGAGCGTCGTCACCGCTGTGGCGGAGCTGTCGGTGTTACGGCAAGCGAAGTGGATTCACGGCGTGGCGATAAGAACATATTTGGACAAGAATGTGTTTGTGATGACTGCGCTCATCGACATGTACGCAAAATGCGGAGCTGTTTGTACAGCGCGAAAGCTATTCGACGCGATGGGCGAGAGACACGTGACGACGTGGAATGCCATGATCGACGGATACGGAACGCACGGTTTCGGAAGCGAAGCCGTCGAGCTATTCGACGAAATGTGCCGAGGGAATGTGAGCCCGAACGACGTGACGTTCGTATGCATCATCTCCGCCTGCAGCCACTCGGGGCTGGTGAACGAGGGTCGCCGTTTTTTCGCCATGATGAAGGACGAATATGGCATCGAGCCGTCGATGGATCACTACGGCGCCGTGGTTGATCTTCTCGGTCGATCGGGCAAGCTAAACGACGCGTGGGACTTCATTCAAGAAATGCCCGTCGAACCCGGGATCAACGTCTACGGTGCAATGCTCGGAGCCTGCAAGATTCACAAGAACGTCGATTTCGGCGAAAAGGCTGCGGACAGGCTGTTCGAGCTCGAACCCGACGACGGCGGCTACCACGTCCTTCTAGCGAACATCTACGCGATTGCGTCGATGTGGGAAAAGGTCGCGAAAGTAAGAAAATCGATGGAGAAGAAAGGGATTCAGAAAACGCCCGGGTGCAGTTCCGTCGACACGAAGAATGCGATGCATACGTTCTACTCCGGCTGCACGAATCATCCGCAGACGAAGGAGATCTATGCGTACCTCGAAGAGCTGATCGATAAGATCAAGGCGGCGGGTTATGTTCCCGACACGAGCTCGATCCACGACGTGGAAGACGACGTGCAGGAGCAGCTGCTGAACAGTCACAGCGAGAAGCTTGCGATCTCGTTTGCGCTTCTAAATACGAGGCCGGGGAGCGTAATTCATGTCCGGAAGAATCTCCGAGTGTGCCAAGATTGCCATAACGCGACCAAGTATATATCGTTGGTGACCGGACGGGAGATTGTCGTCCGGGACATGCACCGGTTCCACCATTTTAAGGGCGGGCAATGCTCGTGCGGGGATTATTGGTGATTTTGATCCATCGTTGTTGTTTGGACTCGTGTTCGAGTGCCGGATAGTCCTTTTGGTAGCCCGCGATTGCGGGGAAGTGTTATGTCGGGTCTCGAGCGAGAGCCGGGTAGTGTCAAGCCCGTGCGCGGGCTCTGCTAAGGTTTAGAGTTTAAAAATAGATAATCCAAATGTTTATTGAAAATATGAGAATAGTTTAAAGGTGTGTTTGTTTGGGTGTTTGGATTTTGAGTTGGGATTTGAATTTTGAATTTGAATAGACGTATAATGCTATATAAATAGGTGATGACGTTGATAGTTTAAATGTAAAATTGATTTTTAAAATAATATAAAAAAAATAAAAAATAGGATGAATAAACAAACACACCATAAGTAAGTCTGAGACTGTCTACGGTCTAATTTACTCTCATCTTTTTCGCCTGTTCGTTATTAATTTTGGCAAGTCAAATATTTATATTTAATAATTACCCTTGGTTTGTCATTATTTTTATTTTATTTAGTTAATAATTAAATTTTCAAAAATATTTTAAATTATTTTTTTATTTTTATATTAATCACCATCAACTTAAAATGAACTAAGGCTGTCTTTGTTTGGGGTTTGAATTTTGAATTGGGATTTGAATAGTAAAAATTTTGAATTTGAATAGTTGTACGATGTGATATAGACATGTGCTATATGATGTTTTGAATGTAAAATTAATTTTTAGTATAATATAAAAAATAAAAAATAAATATTTGATTTGATATTAAAAAAAAAAAATGAATAATCTATTTAAAATTCAATTCCCAGGCAAAGAAACCGTAAGTTTTGCATAGTATAATTATAGTAATATCTAAACTTGCTTATAAATTAGTGATAATCTTTTAATTAACATACAAAATAAATATATAGCGTATTAAAATGAAGGAATATATATATATATAGTCTTTTTTTTTTTTTTTCTAATATATAGAGTATATCTTTTTTCTGAATAAATGTGGAATAGGTATCTTTTTGGACATGCGAAAAAGCAAAGAAAAGAAACCTTTTATTACGGAATATTCTTTTAAAGTGTAGAGGAGCGAATAATTAGGGTTTTGTCCTTTAAGGCACCTCACCGCACCGCATATCCTTCCTCATTTTTGGGTATCGGTTCCCAGCTCAGCTCCTTCCTCTTCCTCTCCTCCAAACCTAACTCATCTAGAGTAATGGAGCAGTCTTTCATTATGATCAAGCCCGATGGCGTCCAGAGAAACTTGGTTCGTCTTCATTCATCCATTCTTTACTTTCATTCTATCTCTTTTGTTTGATTTAGTTCGATTCTGCTGGGAGGATGGATCTAGTTTAGTTTGGAAACCCTAAATTAGAGTATGCTGTTGTGTGATTGCTTATCGTTCTTTGTTTCCTGATTATAATTCATTGGCAATTTGTGGGTTCAGGTCGGTGAGATTATTAGCAGGTTTGAGAAGAAGGGCTTCACTCTGAAAGGTGCCAATTAATTATTACTAGTTCCTTTTGAATGATGATTACTCACTCCACTGTGTTTAAGCAATTAATTGTTTTATTTATTTGTTGCATATAAATTTTTTCTTTGTTTGTGTATATATTGCTTTGGGTAGTGTTTTTTTTGTAGAGAACTTAGAGATGTTCGAAACTGTTATTGTGTTTGTTTGTTTGTACTCTTGATAGTTTGAGATATATGTTTTTGAGGTGTTTCTTGTTTGATCATATATTTGCTTAATGAAAAATAAGTTTCATGGCTTAAATGAAAATTTGGTGTTGAATTAATCTGATCTATTCTTAGAGAGAAACAATGGGTGTGAAAAAATGGTTTGATGTTGATGTAATGTTCTGTTAGAGAAAAAAATGGTATTTTTAGTGAAAAATGTAGAGACTGAACAGTAATAAAGTAAAATAACCCAAACAAACACACAATCGAATGTTATCGGAAAATATTGCATAATATACGAGAAGGGTGTCGAAAAACAAGCTACATGACCTCTGCAGAGGATTGGTGAAAATGCAGATTACATACATCTATGGATAAGGTTTTCAAGTATGTTTCTCCATGTCTTGTATGTCCTCGTTCGAATAGGAATGCAGACGTAAACTTGAATGAACAAATGTTCGACAATACAGGTCTGAAGCTTATTACCGTGGACCGCGCTTTTGCTGAGAAGCACTACGCCGATTTGTCTGCAAAGCCATTCTTCAACGGACTTGTCGAGTACATCATTTCAGGTCCTGTTGTCGCCATGGTTTGGGAGGGCAAGAACGTGGTCGCTACCGGAAGGAAGATCATTGGGGCCACAAATCCTGCTGAATCTGCCCCGGGAACCATCCGTGGCGATTACGCAATTGACATCGGCAGGTACTTTCAATTCAAATTCATCCCTCATAAGCTTAGCAACTTATCCTGATCGGTTTAATATTTAGTTCACTTTCAATGTATACATGATTTGTTCGACCGCAAACTTTTGTCGAAACAGGAATGTGATTCACGGCAGCGATGCCGTGGAGAGTGCAAGAAAGGAGATTGCTCTTTGGTTCCCCGAAGGACTTGCCGAATGGAGGAGCAGCCTTCACTCATGGATCTACGAGTGAAATTGAACTTGAATTTAATCTATCTTATGGCCGGTCGTCGGCTATACCTATACTTATTTACCAGTGTTTCAAACACTATGTCGAACCTATTTTGAATTTTATAAGCTGGATGATGTGTCGATTGCCTATGTGCGCTGCGCACATTTAGTTTTAAGTACTCGAACTGTTTGGGTATATCAGACAGAAGCTTGAAAAGGCATCGGATACCCTCTCTGAGTCTGTTGCCAGAATACATATTACAGTTCCTTCAATTAATAACACAGTTAAACAAGGATATGTTTGTTCATTTGATCGATCGATGGATCACTATTCATTGATTAGAACCTGAGAAAAAGATGCTGATGATGATGGCTACCGGGAAAGAAGGATGTACGAGGGCAGGTCTTCAAGGCGAGTTACGTCTTCTTGCATCAGCTCCCTCTCCAGCTGATGTCGCGTAGCTTTCATCACAGCCTGCGGGCAGAACATAATAACACGACGTATAAAAGGATGCAATATATTAGGAATGGTTGTAAATAGGACTGGTTGAATGAATGCTTACATTGAAGTCCATGTAAGAAGCATGCATTGCGAGCCACAGATGATCCATTAACTTGAAGGAGATACAGTACAAAAGATCAAATGCCGATTCATTTTCTGTCACCAAAGTAGCCGGTAAGCATGGCTGTGCGCAGAGCAAGCGTATGAGAATGTAAGAGGGATACTTACCGGTAAGAAACTTCAAGAACTTTGCTCCAGCAAGTGTTCTCGGCTTCACTGCGAATGCGTATAATGATTTCAACAACTTAGAATCCTCCCACATAACTGATTTATAATCAACAATTGGTACTAATAAGATTTTGCTGAGAAACAACTACAGACAGACAATGAAGCAATTCTGGCCTTTGATCGGTGGAAGTTAGTTCTAAGGAAAGTGTTGGGTCTAACGAGGAAGGAAAACTTTAAGAAAAAATGACATATCCATCTCTTAAGCTTCAAGAGAGTTACCTGCTTCGAGGTCGAGCATTTGAATGAGCATGAAGGTGATGTTGACACCAGCTACTGCAAAGGGATATTCCCACAACGCACGATCACCTTCCTTCTTCCAAAGAAGATCCTGAAAAGATGTCTGCGAGAAAACGATAGTAAGCTCTATGATCCAAAACTAACTGCAAATTGTAAGAGATTTATATATATCACAAAAAGTAAGCTTGAGGAGTTTTATGATTCAAATCTTGTTGTAATAAGGGAATTACATAATTCTTTTACAAGTGTTTGTTTAATTTTCTTGTGTATGCATCAATGGGGATGGAGAAAACATACCGGGAAATTCCTCGCAAAGTATAACAAATTTTCCAACGATATGAAACCTCCACCCCTAAGAGAGGAAACGCCGTATGATTCAGTAAGTTTTTGACAATTTAGCCCAACTGGTTCTAATAAAGCGCAGGAGGATCATAGCATCATACCGAAAATCTGTAGAAGGATCTTTCCCCTGCCAACCCATTTCCTTCCACTGTTCGGATATCAGACCGTGAAATTCTTCCCCGGGAAAGGCAGCACGCCACAATGCCTTTAGCGCTTCCTATGAAACAAAAGTTGAAATTAAGATTACAGAAAATAAATTTACTGAAAATATAATTTACTGGCTTGTGGGCAGATTCTAACATATTATGAGCTATACCTGATGCTCAGTAATAGCACTATCGTAGGTAATATCTATTCGAGTTTGAAGCCTCTGTAGAGATTCCTCCTGATACATGAAGGTGTAGAAAAGCATCAGGATCGTGTTGAATTGCCAGCAATTTTAGCATGTGATTATGATCAGCAGGCTATTTTTAGTGTTAACTGATGCTATGTTCTCTAGATGTATTAAACCTCGTGATCAATATGTGAGCACCAAATTGAATTCCAAAGTAATTGTTACAATAGTGGAATTTGAAGCTGGTAACAAAGAAGAAATGGAAAACATGTTTTAGAACAAAGGTATTACCTGTGCAGGCGTCAAATCAAACGATTGGCGAGCGTCGCTATGCCGTCCTTGAGCACAAACGCAGGAGAATCCCCTGCCAAGCCAAGCAGCAGATCCTGCCACAACCTCCACGGTAACAGAAGAAAATGATTGGCAAAAAACACCAGACACAAGAGGCGATTGGTTATATTCATGTTTTTTCAGCACTGAAACTCTTGAGCCAACGAAAGGAAGCCACACAGTTTCGATAAGAACATGTTCTTTTCTGTTCATTTACAAAATTGTGAATGTAAATTGCACAGAAACTCTATCCAACAGTATCTTCACCATCGCAATCCCCAAAAGTACAACCAAACAGCACACAGATTAGGTATATCAACATCCATCACATCACGAAACCAAATTATGAACTCGAAATGCACTCAACTCTGAATCAACAACTCAGAATCAAAAGCAAAGGCATTAAACAAAAAGGAGTATACCAGAAGATGCGGAATGGCAGGCGCTTCCTCGATCGAGCCCCTGCGAAATCCGCCTCACCGCCACGAACGATCCTCCGCCTCTATCATCCATACCGATTCCGATTCCGATTCCGATTCCAATTCCAATTCCAATTCCGTCTATCAAATTTGTCCTGAACTAGCAGCTCCTCTACCGCAGCCACTAAATCAAGCACACAAATCCGAATCTGAGGAAGCCGAAGAAGCAGTCTCGAAGTGTTCCCAATCGAAAAATTACAAAAACCGAAGATCCCTCCCTCCGCCACAGCTCCGAGATCTGCGAGAAACACACACCTCAATCAACACCAGCTTTATTTATTCATCTCAGTCCATCCGCAGTAGCCGCCGCTGCGCGAGTAGAATGTCCAGATTATGCTGCTCAAATACAGTTATCCAGCAACCGCTCTCTCTCTCTCACTCATTGAGTGCACATACTCGCATATATACATACAAGAACATGTATGTATATATCTGTGTGAGAGTAAAATACGTGCCTCGGACTTAATGAAATTTTTTATATTATAGTGTACTAATTTCGATCTAGTAATTAATTATTCGATGCTAACTAAAACACCACCTTATTTATATCTAGAAACACATTAATTAATGGAGACGTCCTTTCACTATTCATAGTATTTTCTATTAGGACAATAATTCAATACTTTGCAAATGAATCCATAAATAGATCAGGTTGTATTTTTCAAAAAATATACTGTTTATGTTTCACATCCGATAACAAAACCCAACGGCTATTCTTCCTTGCTAACTCTGTCCCCTGCATCACTAGAGCTGATCAATCTTTCGAATAAATAAGTATTAGTATCGGTATTACTTTTTTCACAAATGGCATCCACCTCAAACATTTATTATATATATATATATATAATCCATCCCATCCCATCGTTTTGTATTTACATGTGTATTTAATATTTCTCAAAGCAACCAATATAATATTTGATAAAAATTGATTTCTATGTTGTTTGAAAAATTAATATGTCTCGAATATTAAATAATTATAAAAAAATAAATTAGATGATCAAAATAATTTATGATCAAAAATGTTTTGATAGTGCTTTCTGTTCATAACATAATATTTCTAAACATAAAATAATATTCGCCAATGACATCCTAATATTCCATAGTTCGGACTAAGTAAAATGAGAAAAAGAGACTTGAACACAAAAGAAGGAGAGTTACTAAAATCTAACCCGAAAGAAGTAAGAGAGAGAGATTGTCTTGGTGTTCTCCACTCCATTCTTGGAATATTCATTGTAGCCGTTTAATGACTGATAAGTGGCTGCTATAATTCCAATAACAGTTAAAACCATGGGCCATTAATTTGTAATGGTCGAAATTTATTTTATTGTACTCTCACTCCACTGTGTTGAAGCAATTAATTGTTTTATTTATTTGTTGCATATAAATTTTCAGTTGTACATACATATATTGCTTTGTGTTTAAAAAAATTTAGTGTCTTTTTTCTTGTAGAGAACCTAGAGGTGTTCGAAAATGATAGTGTTTGTTTATTTGTATTCTGGATTGTTTGAGATCGTGTTTTGAGGTATTTCTTCTTTATCTTTGTTTACATCTGATCTATTTTTAGAGAGAAACAATACAATGGGTGTGCCTCTTTGGAGTTTCATTTAAATAATAGTTTGATATAATATTGGTAATACTTTTAGTGAAAAAAGCAAGTAAGAATCAAAGAAACACAGCATCGATATTTTTGGACAAACTGCAAAATATATGAAAAGGGTGTCGAAAAACAAGCTACATAGAGGATCTGTTTAAGGCTTAGTTCATATGGTGCTATACCTACTTAGAGTGTTGGCTCTATTTGAAGTCTGTGTTTTGGGTTTTAAGAGCTGGACAATGTGTGGAAAACTATTGCATTGTATACCTTAATGATCTTAAGTACTCCAACTGTGTTTGGGTGGAAGCTTGAAAAGTCGATGAATCTGTTGCCAGAGTACATATTACAGTTCCTTCAATCAATAACAATGATATGTTTGTTCATTTGATCGATCACTCACTCATTCATTCGTTAGAACCTGAGAAAAAGATACTGATGATGATGGCTGCCATTGCTACCGGGGAAGAAGGATGTACGAGGGCAGGTCTTCAAGGCGAGTTACGTCTTCTTGCAGCAGCTCCCCCTCCAGCTGATGCCGCGTAGCTTTCATCACAGCCTGCGGGCAGACGGCGTATGAAAGGACTATATCACACACACATATATATATAATGAACGACTGTAAATAGAACTTGTGAGTGAATGCTTACATTGAAGTCCATGTAAGAAGCATGCATTGCGAGCCACAGATGATCCATTAACTTGAAGGTGATACAGTACAGAAGATCGAATGCCGATTCATTTTCTGTCACCAAAGTAGCCGGTAAGGATGGCTGCGCGCAGGTGCAAGCGTATGAGAATGTAAGAGGGGGATAGTTACCGGTAAGAAACTTCAAGAACGTCGCTCCAGCAAGTGTTCTCGGCTTCACTGCAAACGTGAATAATGATTTAAAGAACTTAGAATCCCCCCACAGAACTGAGTAATAATAATCAACACTTTGGGTACTAATAAGTTGAGATTATGCTGAAAAACAACTACATGCAGACAATGAAGCAATTCTGGCCATTGATTGAAGAAGTTAGTTCTAAGGAAAGTGTCGGGTCCAACGACGAAGGAAAACTTTAAAAACGATGACATATCCATCTCTTAAGCTTCAAGAGAGTTACCTGCTTCAAGGTCGAGCATTTGAATGAGCATGAAGGTGATGTTGACACCAGCTACTGCAAAGGGGTATTCCCATAACGCGCGACTACCTTCCTTCTTCCAAAGGAGATCCTGAAAAGATGTCTGCGAGAAAAATGGATAGTAGGCTCTATAATCCAAAACTAACGACAAGTTGTAAGGGATATATATATATATATATATCGCGTGAAAAATAATCATGAAGAGTTTTATGATCTAATTTTGTTGTCTACAGGGGAATTAGATAATGGTAGATAGATCTCATATTTTCTTATCAAGAAAGCATTTGAGATGTTGAAAAAATGGAGAAAACATACCGGGAAATTCCTCGCAAAGTATAACAAATTTTCTAACGATATGAAACCTCCACCCCTAAGAGAGTAAACGCCGTATGATTCAGTAAGTTTTTGACAATTTAGCCCAACTGGTTCTAATAAAGCGCAGGAGGATCATAGCATCATACCGAAAATCTGTAGAAGGATCTTTTCCCTGCCAACCCATTTCCTTCCACTGTTCGGATATCAAACCGTTAAGTTCTTTCCCGGGAAAGGCAGCATGCCACAATGCCTTTAGAGCTTCCTATGAAACAAAAGTCGAAAAGGTTGAAGAAGATGCGAAATTAACATGACAAAACATAAAATTACTGGCTTGTGGGCAGATTGTTACATATTATGAGCTATACCTGATGCTCAGTAATAGCACTATCGTAGGTAATATCTATTCGAGTTTGAAGCCTCTGTAGAGATTCCTCCTGATACATGAAAGTGTAAAAAGTCATCAGGATCGTGTGCATTGCCAGCAAATTTAACATGGGATATGATCAGGCTATTTTTAGTGTTTACTGATGCTATGTTCTCTAGATGTATTAAACCTCGTGATCAATTTGTGAGCACCAAATTGAATTCCAAAGTAATCCAGTGAAGCTCTGAGCCAACAATAGTGGAATTTGAAGATGGAAAACATGTTTTAGAGCAAAGGTATTACCTGCGCAGGCGTCAAATCAAACGATTGGCGAGCGTCGCTATGGCGTCCTTGAGCACAAACGCAGGAGAAGCCTCTGCCAAGCCAAGCAGCAGATCCTGCCGCAACCTCCACTGTAACAAAAGAAAATGATTGGCAACACACACCAGACACACAGGAGGCGATTATATTCATGTTTTTTCAGCACTGAAACTCTTGAGCCAATGCAAGCAAGCCATATACAGTTTCGATAAGACCATGTTGTTCTGTTCATTTACAAAATTGTGAATGTAAATTGCACAGAAACTCTATCCAACAGTATCTTCATCATTTCAATCCCCAAAGTGAAATCAAACAGCACACAGATTAGGTATATCAACATCCATCACGAAACCAAATTATGAACTCGAAAAGCACTCAGCTCTGAATCAAAAGCAAAAGCATTAAACAAAAAGGAGTATACGGTATACCAGAAGATGCGGAATGGCAGGCGCTTCCACGATCGAGCCCCTGCGAAATCCGCCTCACCGCCACGAACGATCCTTCGCCTCTATCATCCATACCGATTCCGATTCCGATTCCGATTCCGTCTTTCAAATTTGTCGTGTACTTCCAGCTCCTATACCGCAGCCACTAAATCAAGCGCACAAATCCGAATCTGAGGAAGCCGAAGAAGCAGTCTAGAAGCGGTCCCAATCGAACAATACAAAAACCGAAGATCCCTCCCTCCGCCACAGCTCCGAGATCTGCGAGAAACACACACCTCAATCAACACCAGCCTAATTTATTCATCTCAGTCCATCCGCAGTAGCCGCCGCTGCACGAGTAGAGTCGATTAGATGCAGAGCGAGAAGAATGTCCAGATTATGCTGCTCAAATACAGTTATCCAGCAACCGCTCTCTCTCTCTCTCTCTCCTCTCGCTCTCACTCGTTGAGTGCACATACTCACATATATACATACAAGAATATGTATGTATATATATATGTGATTAAAATGCGTGCCCTCGGACTTGACGAAATTTTCTTTAAATTATACTGTACGCCCATCCCAAGTCCCACCTACGGTAAAAAAATTTATTTACAATATAAAAATTTAAGCAGATAATATTAACAAAAATAAATTAAGAATTACATTTAAAAAAAATAAAAAAATTAAGTGATGCAAAAAGATAAAATATAGTTAATTTTGTTTTAAAAATATTATAGAATAGATAAAACGCATCAAATAAAAAAATTACAAAATATTTAGAGTGAATGAAGTACTCCTAATTTCAATCTCGAATAAATAAATAGATCGGATTTGCATTTTTCGAAAAATATATATCATATAATATTTATTCTTCAACATCCAATACATTATATTCTTATCTTAAAAATATCAAATATATATACAGTCTATTGTGGTCAATTTTTGGCCACATGGGATGTTGGATTCTTCTACAAAACCCATTTCATACTTTTTTTTTATTTTATTTTAATTTAGTAGTAACACTCAAATTTAGGATTAAATTCATCAATTGATTGATCATGATATTTTAGTAAAATGGTAAAAAATTTTATGATCTCTCTATGTTTTATATATATATATGTATGTATATATATATATAGTCCATTCCAAGTGTCGTTTTCTATTACATATGTATTTAATATTTGTCAAGGCAACAAATACATTATGTATATAAGATTTGATGAAAGTGATTTGTACATCACATAGGGCTTTGGAGTTTTGATTAGGTAATACTACACTATATCCCTATTTACTATTGTAGACACTAAAAATATATGTCTAAAATCAATTAAATATCATGTATTTTGGAAGAAAATAAAATTCCAATAAAATAAATATATGGTATTTAATTATGCACATATGTTAATTTTTGTACAATAAATATCAACCATTAATGCAAAATCTGCTTAAAATGGAAGATATCGTACAAATATTACGTGCATAAATAGAGCCATAATAAATTTGGCAGCAAAATAAATTAATCTTGTCAATAAAGGAAGTATATAAATTAATATCTTCCAAACAAGGCAATGATATAAAGATCTTGTCAATAAAGGAAGTATATAAATTAATATCTTCCAAAAAAGGCAATGATATAAAGATTTTGACGAGAAAGGAAGGTGCATAATCAAATCCGTCAAAAATGGAAAACGGCATCCGAGGGAAAAGGAAAGATTATAAAATCTTTCCATCCACGTGGCACCATCCGAAAAGGAAGCCAAGGCCACCCTCCCCTATAAATAGGAGCCTTGGCCAATTCATTTAGAGACCGAAGTTCATTTGAAGACTCGCGCAAGGGTAAGTCTCTCTAGACTCTCTGCAATGTTCTTCATTGTTCTTCGTGTCCTTCGAAGCGTTCTTCGTCGAAAAGTCACCGATTTGGACAAATGATCCAATATTGGTTGACGAATCGATGAAGTTAACGTTCTTCGTCGTATGTCCGAGCCGGAGGAAGGATCAAATCTCTCAAAGCTATCGAGGAATCCATCAAAGCCAAGGAAGAGCCTCCAAAGTCGCTCCCAAAGCTTGAAGATGTTCGTCGCGTTCTTCATAAAAGGCGCAAACCAGGCCCTCTTCGATCCAAAAGTCAAAGGGACACGCCGCCAAAAGCGTTATGGAGCACTAAATCTCTCCCTCAAAGATCAAATTCCGTCGGATCATCCAAAGGAGGCATCAATCCGAAGCCGACGATCAAAATCGCCAACATGGATACCAAAGTCCTTCAAAAGCCGGCGAAGTCAAACCGAAGACCAAAATCCCTTCGGATCAAAGAAGCCACCCAAATCCAAATTGGAAAAATGGATCGACCCGGAGAGAGAATCAAAGGATCCGAATAGAGAATAGGACCCGCATTAAATTTAAATACAAATATAATTTGTACAAATTTTGTGTTTATAAAAATATAACACAATTTTTTTGTCTACAGATTTTTGGCACGCCCAGTGGGACATCTCTACCTTTCATCTCTCTTTCCGTCGAATTCTCAAACAATCAATGGCTTCCTACAAAATCAAGACTTCCAATGCTGTGTCGAAAGCTGCTGCTCTAGCCGCCACCGCCAAAGGAGTCGCTGCTACTACATCAAGAACCTCAAGTGCTTCAATGAATGCTGGAGTGATGACACGAAGTATGGCTAAAAGAGTACTGTCATTTTCCGAGGATGCACATCCGAAAATCACAGAGCAAAACTCACTCTATGAGGAGGACGAAAGCTTCAAGAGTACCTCCGCACCGGGCACCCCTCAAGAAGTTGCAACTCGTTCGACCGCATCGAGTTATGCCCCGGTGATGACCACGAACGCTTCAAACATAGAAGACCAACTTGTTGCACTGGCCAAAGTTGTTGAAGGGATGTCTCAACACATGCAGCAACAAGACAATGTCATCGCAAAACTGCTTGCAAAATTGGACAAGCCGGAACCAACCAACCAGAATGCTTCGGAGGCCCAAAATGAAGCAGAAACATCCATGGATCAACGCCACGGTAAAGAAAAAATGGCGGGACCAATGCCGTTTCAAACATCATCTGACTCTTTCATCCATCTATCCCAACTTGACGAGTATATCAAAGGAGCTCTCAAAAGGGAGTTTGAAGGAAGTTCAAGGCCAACAAATATGTATGCCAAGCCTTACACTTCAAGGATCGACGCCCTCAAGATGCCGTTGGGATATCAACCACCAAAGTTCCAACAATTTGATGGCAAAGGCAACCCAAAGCAGCATGTGGCACACTTCATGGAAACATGCAACAACGCTGGGACATACGGCGATCTCTTGGTAAAGCAGTTCGTACGGTCATTAAAAGGCAACGCCTTCGACTGGTATATCGACCTGGAGGCTGGTTCCATCGACAGTTGGGAGCAGTTGGAGTACGAGTTCTTGAACCGGTTCTACAGCACAAAAAGGACCGTCAGTATGACAGAACTCACCAATACTCGTCAATGGAAAGATGAACCAGCAATCGACTACATCAACCGCTGGAGGAGTTTGAGCTTGAACTGCAAAGACCGGTTGTCTGAGGCCTCCGGTATAGAGATGTGCGTCCAAGGAATGCACTGGGGGTTGAAATACATCCTGCAAGGGATCCGACCCCACACTTTCGAAGAACTTGCTACCCGCGCTCATGACATGGAGTTAAGTATGGCTTCAAGCGGGATGCACGGACCACCAGTTCAAGAATCTTCAAAAGCAAAAAGATACGAAAGATATGATGCCGCAAAGAAGGGGAACAACGCCCCTATCAAATCTTTTGGAAAAGAAGCCTTGGCCATAAAAGCGACGACCAAAGCACCTATGAAGATCCAAAGTAAAGAAAAGGAAGTTGCAAGGAAAAGACAATCAACTCAGACAGAAAGACCGCCAAGGCCAACCCTTAAAGAGTTGCAATCCAAAACTTATCCTTTCCTGGATTCTGACGTCTCGGGAATCTTTGACGATCTACTCAGAGAAAACCTCATTGAACTTCCGAATTCAAAAAGACCGGAGGAAGCTGGAAAGGTTGATGACCCAAGATATTGCAAATACCATCGTGTCGTAGGACATCCCATCCATAACTGTTTCATCTTTAAAGACAAAGTCATGGAGTTGGCTCATGAAGGAAAGATCACCCTTGAAGACGATTCTGCTTCTGTTAATGTCACTTCAATCATGTTCGGGTCTCTCGAAGTTGACATAAAAGACAAAGAATCATATTGTCTCACTACCGAGAAAGGTGGCAAGGCGATCAGAGACAAATCGAGTGAAGAATGTGCCACGATAACTTTCACTGATGAAGATTTGGTGTTAGGATCCAAACCCCATAATCGTCCATTACTGGTCATGGGTTATATCCATGAACAAAGGATTAACCGGATATTCTTAGACGGAGGAGCTGCAGTCAATGTCCTTCCTCTATACACATTGCAAAAATTGGGAATACCAGTAGATCAGTTATTCGAGAGTCGTATGACAATACATGGATACAATCAAGAGGGGCAAAGAGCACTTGGCACCATAAGATTGAGACTCTTAATCGATGAAATGGAAACTAACCCTTTGTTCTACGTGATAGACGCAAAGACATCTTTCAACGTTCTTTTGGGAAGACCATGGATACATGAGAATGGTGTAGTTCCATCAACGTGGCACCAATGCTTCAAATACGCTCAAAATGGAGTGACAAAGAAAGTTCTTGGAGACACAAAGCCATATGCAGAAGCCGAGTCACACTTTGCGGATGCCAAATATTTCTCTACAGAAGCAAAAAAATCCAAGGTACATGAAGATGTCAAAGCACCACAACCAAACTTGGGGGCAAAGTTAAGAGATAAAGAAAAAACACCTGCCTCAGGTTCTGCAGACTCATTAATTGAGCCTCTAAAAGATTTGACTCTTCCGAAGACCTCACTCAACCCAATCCCCCCATCGCAGACAAGGAATGGAAAAGAGGAAAAAATAGAGGCTATGCGATTGCAAAAGGACAAAAGCTTTGGCCCAAAAGCCTACAAACTTCTCACAAAAGCTGGATATAATCCAAATGAGGAATCACTGCTGGGAAAGTTACCACCACAGACAACCCAAGGTTCGAGGGCTGGTCTTGGGTACATGCCACAAGCTCCCGTACGCATCGCTATCAAAAGGGCTGCAAATCATCATATCACCGAAAGCGAGACTTTGTCTTCCAATTCACCTCAAAAGGGGAAGAATGCAAGAGTATCGGTTTTCGAGAGGCTAAAACCTTCTGTCTTCACAAGGTTAGGACCAAAGATCAATAAAAAGAAAAACAAGACGAATTCCACATCAACAAAATATGTGGAGATGGATGAAGAAATCAAGAGCCGCTTTCCATCCCGCATGACGCGTCAAACAAAAATGACGATACATTGCGGTAAAGTTTTAAAGGCTAAATGGCAAACCGTTGTCTTCACCAAACCCAAAGAAGATAATGAAGAAAG